TGAAATGACAACATATAAGTATACATTATATATTATACATATAATGCAAATATAATATATTGCTGATGATAGAATGTTAATTTTTTTAAAAACGAGTTAAACTAAAAAGCACTGGAAAAAATAACAGCAAAAACGACATGTATGAGATATAAACATACTCGTAGAGTCAGATAATTAATAACGCGCATGCAATTTCATGTAATTGAAAACATAAAAAAGAACCCCCACAAAACCAACCACCATCACCAACAACATTAGCAGCAGCGGCAATATTAACGAGCAACCGAAACAGCAAGCCTACTATTCTACCAAGCAACCAATTAACCGACCCGTCATTCATCCAGTACGCTAATTGTTTATAACTGTATATTTCAGATGGAATTATTGGTATCGACGTCTATGGAGTGATGGTAAGGCTTTTCGCTGTTGCACACAAACTACATGAAATCGAGTCTCCTGAGGGGAGGTCTATTTCTTCAAGTACACTATGTATCTCCTGCTGTCTGCTCCTATGTGCTATCCTCCTCTTCCCAGTGTAAGCCCTGATAGGCTGAGTTGAAGCAATCCGCTTGCTGAATGTTGTAGATTGTGCTGATGACGAGACCGATAAACATTTACCAACACACCATGTCTACCTCACCTCTTAAGGACCTCTTTTCTGACCATCAAAGAATATACTCACTACACTAAACGACGTGGAAGTGAAAAAATGTGTTCGTAGGGCTTGGAATAAGTCTTTTCCCGGACAATGAACTAAGCAAGCTGGAAAGTTAAAATTTGACACTCACAATGCTACTTCTCTTCAAGTCATTGTCGTACTGCAAACTGACACATTTTTTCTCCTTTTGCTTGGCATTGAATGGTCCCTGGATAAGACTCAATTCATTCCTCTATTGCAGATATAGCATGTTCATCATTATGGAAAGGCTATTTGATAGGATTTTTTTTTCAGATTTGGGAAACGAATCAATCAGAGGGTGCTGTATCATGCGAATAGAGCGGCCCAATTCGGCTTCTTTAAGCACTACCTCATTTGATTTCTTTTTCATTCCGTGAAATTCTCACTAGTCTTCTATGACATCACACTCCTGATACGACAACAGATCCACATAATAAGTGAAATAAAGACACCTACTGACCTGGTGGATGGGTGTTTCTCCCTCGCTCTTCCCCGCTTCTCCTTGTATTCCCATTTCCTCCAACCTGTTGGTGTCCGTTGGGTATCTGTATCGCCCTGTCACATTCATCTTTCTCCGGTCCATCCAGTGTTCTATTTGAGAAGACAAACACTTGTGATGAAAAACTGGCATAAAAAGCTCACAAAAACAAAAACAATACTCTTTTTTCATCAAGTATGTGCAGCCCCCCC